GATGTTTGAGGTGGCCCTGTAGAACCCCACAGTGATCTTCTAGGTGACCCTACGGTGATCTTCTAGGTGACCCTATAGCGAGGACAGGGGGGATGTTGGTGGCCCCGGAGAAGAGCAAGGTGGCCTGGGTGGCCCTAGGGAAGGACAAGGTGGCCGTGGTGGCATGGACCAGGTGGTGCTTGAGGTGGCCCTGTAGAACCCCGCAGTGATGCTCTAGGTCACCCTACAGGGAACGTTCCAGGTATCCCTATGGTGACGTTCTTGGTAAATCACCCGTGCAGTTCTAGGTAACTCTACGGTGACGTTCTAGGGAGCCCTACGGTGACATTCCAGGTCACCCAGTGCTCAGGACACGTCAGTGACAATTTGGGGAAGCAGCTGTTGTCACCTTAGGTGACCCCAAACCAGGCTGACCCTCCGGTGACCCCGTAGATGACCAGATGGCCCTAGAGCCGGGGGCAGGTGACGTTCTGGGTCACTCTACAGCCAGAGTGACCAGCCCGGCTGACCACGCGCCCAACCCCTCGCAGGAAGCCGGAGAAGGGGATCCAGTACCTGATCGAGAGGGGGTTCCTGTCCGACACCCCCGTGGGCGTCGCCCACTTCATCCTGGAGCGGAAGGGCCTGAGCCGGCAGATGATCGGCGAGTTCCTGGGCAACCGCCAGAAGCAGTTCAACCGCGACGTCCTCGAGTAAGGGGGGACACGGCGGGGACGGGGACACGATGGGGACAGGGACACAATGGGGATGGGGACATGGCAGGGATGGGGGACACGGTGGGGACATGGCAGGGACTGGGACATGGTGAGGACGGGGGACACAGCAGGGATGGGGACACGGTGGGGACACGGTGAGGATGGGGACACGACGGGGACACGATGGGGACAGGGACACAGCAGGGATGGGTACACGGCGGGGACACGGCAGGGACAGGGGAAACGGTGAGGACGAGGACACAGCAAGGATGGGGACATGGCGGGGATGGGGACACGGCGGGGACATGGCGGGGATGGGGACATGGCGGGGACATGGTGGGGATGGGGACACGGCAAGGACGGGGGACACAGTGGGGACATGGCAGGGATGGGGGACATAGTGGGGACAGGGGCATGGTGGGGATGTGGGACATGACGGGGACACGGCAAGGACGGGGACATGGCAGGGATGAGGGACACGGCAGGGATGGGGGACATGGCAGGGATGGGGACATGATGGGGACATGGCAAGGACGGGGACATGGCAGGGATGAGGGACACGGCAGGGATGGGGGACACAGCGGGGACATGACAGGGATGGGGGACATGATGGGGACAGGGACATGGCGGAGACGGGGACACGATGGGGATGGGGACATGGTGGGGATGGGGGCACGGCGGGGATGGGAACACGGCAGGGACAGGGACTTGGCAGGGTTGGGGACATGGTGAGGACACGGCGGGGACAGGGGACACGGCAGGAACACGGTGAGGACGGGGACACAGTGAGGACGGGGACACGGCGGGGACAGGGACACGGCAGGGATGGGGGACATGGTGGGGACAGGGACACGATGGGGACATGACGGGGACGGGGACACGGCAGGGACACAGTGAGGACGGGGACACGGCAGTGATGGGGGACATAGTGGGGATGGGGGACATGGCAGGGACACGGCGGGGACGGGGACACGGCGGGGACACGGCGGGGACAGGGACACGGCGGGGCTCGGGGACACGGGGAGGACGGGGACATGGCGGGGACACAGTGGGGATGGGGACACAGCGGGGACATGGTGAGGATGGGGACACGGTGGGGACAGGGACACGGCGGGGCTCGGGGTGGCCCCCAGAGCCATCGCCCGCCCCGCGGGGTCCCGGCAGCTGCGTGGTGGACGAGATGGATTTCTCGGGGATGGAGCTGGACGAGGCCCTGCGGAAGTTCCAGTCCCACATCCGGGTGCAGGGGGAGGCGCAGAAGGTCGAGCGCTTGATCGAGGCCTTCAGGTGAGGGCTGGGTCCCTGTCCCCGTGTCCCCTCGTCCCCGTGTCCTCACGTCCCCGTGTCCCCACATCCCCCTGCACTGACCCTGCCACCAGCAGCACACGGTGGTGTGGCCACCATGGGGTGACGTTCTAGGTGACCCCATGGATTGAGGGGGTCACAAGGGGGTGGTGGCACCTGTGGGACCAGGGGCTGTTCTAGGTGACCCCATGGATTGAGGGGGTGGTGGCACCGGTGGGACCAGGGGCTGTTCTAGGTGACCCCATGGATTGAGGGGGTCACAAGGGGGTGGTGGCACCGGTGGGGCCAGGGGCTGTTCTAGGTGACCCCATGGATTGAGGGGGTGGTGGCACCTGTGGGACCAGGGGCTGTTCTACGTGACCCTACAGACTGTCAGGACACCGGGGGATGGCCCCTGGACCACAGGGTGACGTTCTAGGTGACCCTGTGGATCAAGGAAGGGCCGTGAGGGTGGTGGCCCATGTTCTAGGTGACCCTACAGCCACTGGGGTGCCACCCCAGGATTACGGGGTGGCTGTGGGGTGCAGAGGCCACCCCGCGAGGCGGGCCCGGCCGTGGGGCACCGTGACCCCATGGGCCGTGGGGGTTGTCCGCCCCGCAGCCAGCGCTACTGCGTGTGTAACGCGGCCCTGCTGCGCCAGTTCCGCAACCCGGACACCATCTTCATCCTGGCCTTCGCCATCATCCTCCTCAACACCGACATGTACAGCCCCAGCGTCAAGGCCGAGCGCAAGATGAAGCTCGAGGACTTCATCAAGAACCTGCGAGGTGAGGCCCCACCCGGGGACCTGGGTTCTAGAGCGGGGCCGGGTGTCGCGTGCTCCAGGGCTGGCCCAGGAGTTGTAGGTTCTGGAACGGGGTGCGGCGTCGTGGATTCGAGGTGGGCCTGGGTGTTGTGGGTGGGTTCTGGATTGGGTCAGGTGTTGCAGGTTCCAGAGTGGGCCTGGGAGCTCTGGGTTCTGGGTGCTGGGGCCAACACGGTGGGTTCTAGAGCGGGTCTAGGGGGGTTTCAGGCTCCGGACCAGGTCGTGGTGAGGAGGGTTCTAGAGCAGAGCTGGGGTGGTGGGGAGGTTCTAGAATGGGACCATTACAGGGCCTGGAGCTGGGCTGGTGTTGCAGGTTCTAAAGCCGGGTCTGCTGGTGTGGGTTCTAGAGCCACCAACGACGAGCAAGTTCCAGAGCGGGACCAGGAGCGATGGGTTCTAGAGCAGAACCTCTGGTCGCGGGTTCTAGAGCGGGGCGGGTGTTGCGGGTTCTGGGGCGGTCCCGTGTGACACGGGTTCTCCAGCGGGGCCGGGTGTCGCGCAGGGGTGGACAACGGCGAGGACATCCCCCGGGACATGCTGGTGGGCATCTACCAGCGCATCCAGAGCCGCGAGCTGCGCACCAACGACGACCACGTGTCCCAGGTCCAGGCCGTGGAGCGCATGATCGTCGGCAAGAAACCGGTGGGTCGGGGGTGGGACAGGGCACCCGGGGGGTGGGACCCACGGGGGGTGTCCCAGGTGACCCCATGGGACGGGTTCTAGGCCACCCAAAGGAGACATTCCAGGTGATCCTGTGGTGGGGAGGATGTTCTAGGTCACCCGGGGGAGATGTTCCAACATTCCAGGAGATCCTGTGGGAAGGATGTTGCAGGTGACCCGTGGGTGGGATGTTCTAGGTGACACGTGGGACAGGTTCTAGGTGGCCCAAGGGACACATTCCAGGTGACCAATGTGGGATGATCCAGGTGACCCTTGGGGGACACTGGATGGGCTCCATGTGGGACATTTGGGGTGACCCTTGAAGTGACCCCTGGGGACATTTGGGTCACCCTTGAAGTGACCCCATGTGGACATTCGGGGTGACCCTTGAAGTGACCCCTGGGGACATTTGGGTCACCCTTGAAGTGACCCCTGTGGGACATTCGGGGTGACCCTTGAAGTGACCCCTGTGGGACATTTGGGTTACCCTTGAAGTGACCCCATGGGACATTTGGGTGACCCTTGAAGTGACCCCATGGGACATTTGGGTGACCCTCTTGGTGACCCCTGTGGCACATTCGGGGTGACCCAACATGGCCATGCTCTTGGTGACCCCAGTGAAGATCCAAGGGCACCATCCCCACCCTGGGGTGTCCCTGGGAAGTTCTGGGGTGACCCTTGAAGTGACCCCTGTGGGACATTTGGG